CATCACATGTATATAACGTGAACATCAAACAATATATCAAATAACATGACATTGTGTACCTACGTAGATATCACAGAACATCACTTATTACTATATAAACATCATAAGAATGCATCATAGAGCATCACATGTACACTATATGAACATCATAAAAACAACACAAAACATCACATGTATAATACGTGAAAGGGTATGTTTAAAACAAACTCGCAGCGAAAGTTAAATTGTAGGTGCGGCACTGCTGCTCCTAAAGTGCAGCACTGCTGCTCCCAAGGTGCAGCACTGCCACACTACGGGACTGCCTCACTAAAAGTGTGGCACTGCTGCTCCTGTAGACAACCTCGAACTAATGTTCCTAGGATAATGTAGAGCTTATTCCATCATCAAGATGTTGGCGGAAGTGCATGAGCAAGTAGATCGGGACCAAACCCTAGAATCACCACAAATATAAGTATAGCAATGCAAATCACAAGAATATAAGTGGCACACCGATTTATCCCATGGTTCAGCTCGTCACTAAGACTTAACTATGTCCACGTTGTTGAGGTAGCCACAAAGGCTTTGGTCTCTTTCAACCTTATCTTCGTTCTCAAGTCAAGAGAATGAACTCTTGAGATGATGGGTGATTTCACTAGATGATTGGGGTGATTACAAATCTTCCGGGGCTACCACACAAGTTGGCAAGCTCTACGGGCGACGCTCTTGCTGGCTAGGAGCAAGCTCCAAGAGTAACAAACACAATCCACCGGCTTAAACGTAAACCAAGTGCTCTAGAGAGATGAAGAATAGTTGGGGCTACTCTCTAATGCAGTTTGGAGGCTTAAACTCTCTTGGATTTGGAAGGGAATCAAAGGGAGAAGCTTGAGAGTCTTCAATGGTGAGTGAGGGAGAGAGAGTAGCTCTTTTATGTTTTTGATGAGCTGGAATGAGCAAGAGGTTCAAGAGAGCCGTTGGGGTGGAAGAGACGGGGTATAAATACCCCCTGCTTCAAACGATCAGTTCAGTCATGGCAGTGCCGCGTCTAAACTGTGGCAGTGCCTCAGTGCGGCAGTGCCTCACTTTTAGCGTGGCAGTGCCTCACTTGTCAGGCAGCACAAAAGATAGAATTGCAAAGCTTGCTATCTTGGTTGAGGCTTTAATGATATTTGATAGGTAAATGAGCACTTGGTTGCACATTAAAGCATGTGTATTGTATCCCCTTTATAGTACGGTTTTTGCTAAACTCAAATTTAAAATATCAAAGAATTTAAACACCTTTAAGTTGGTCACCGTATCCTTTTTATAATTGGGGGCTCCACCATCGAATGTATTGTCCTCATTCCTATTATACCATGAGCATGTGACTTGAACTATTTCAACACATATGAGTTCAATCCATGGCTTAAAGTCACTTCCAATAATGATTTGATCCTCAACACAATATGACTCCTCATAGCTCGATTAGTTTCTCGAATCAATGCAAATACTCGCTTCTTCACCTTAGCCATGGTACCTCGATCCTCAAGCCATCGCTTGCCTTTCACCTTTGCTTAGTCTCTCGAAGCTCTTTTCTTGCTGTCTTCACCTTATCAAGCCATACTCAAGTCACGTCATATTAAGTATCCATTGAAAAACTATTTCTTCAAAATTGTGATCCTTGCTTGAATATCTTCTAGATATGAATGTTGAGATCAATCAAGCTTTAGTTTGATTCACATAAAGACATATATGAGTCAACATCAATATGGTCAAGCCAATTCACGATTTCTTATGTCCTCTTTTTTTTGGCTTGACACTCCTAATACTCACTTCAATATCTATCTTTATACTTTTAGCTGATCAAGTCAATACAAAGTGATTTTTCAAATCTTTATCCATAGAAACAAACCAATGTAGAGAACATCTTATATCCATTATACATTGTCTCATTTGTCATTTCACATTTGCTTAATATTTTCTCGCTTATACACTCTTGATTCATTCTTCAATCCTTGATCAAAGCTAATCCACTATCAAACTTTTCTGGTTCATGCAAAGCAAGCCATTATTGAGATCAATCCAAAATCATCAACTCATGTCTCTTTTAACATTTGCCAAATATACTTGTTTTCTCATGATATTATGATATTCCTCAACATAGAAACCATTTCATCAACTCCATTTGCATTGTTGTCTTTCTCTTAAACTATATTATTTCTGTGATTTTCCAATACAATAATACCCAATTTTGGCCTTAATTTGAACATTATATGGAATATCATCAAGTTTGCCTTCTTGTTGAACCTATATACACTTCTCATTCCACAATCCATAAGTGTATGCAATAAACTCAATTTCCTGTTCAACACTTAGCAAACTTGTTAGACCTTTAATGGTGTTGTCATTCAATTCACCAAAATCCACTAAAGGGCTAGATGCACTTATAATCTCCCTATTTTTGAGGATTGATGACAACACAATTAAAACTTACAAGAGATTGATAAATAATAAGATTTTGAATCTATGATATAGTGAGCTCCCCTAAATGTGTGTATTGAAAGGAATTCAAATTTTAGCCTAAAATGTCAAATGCACATATTCAAGATAAAGTGTAGGAACTCTCCTATATCTTAGCATCCGTGGGGTGTAAGGAGTCATCATGATAAACGTGATGCTCATAGAAGTTCATGCACTCAAGAAGTTTATGAAGTTGTCATGTGTGGCACTTCCGTGAGTGAGTGCGGCACTGCCGCACGGTGGCAGTCAGAGAAAATAAACAACACATCATTCAAGGCATGAACATCACACACTAGCATATATGGTTCTTATCAAGAGCATCAATTTAAACTATCATTGCACACACCACACAATAAAAATTGAAAAATCTTATATATATGCCTCCCTTTTTACCCATTTAAATCCTCATATCAATCTCTTTAAATTCTCATATCAATCTCTTTCCCTTACACTCTCTCCTAATATTTCTCTCCCTTTGGCATTAATCTCCAAAAAGGACCTCTCAACCAAAAGGAGAAAATAATGGTAGACAAGTGAGGGCAAGAGGTGGGTAAAAGTTCAGCATATAGGATTTCTCTCCTGAGTTTTCTACCAAACAAAGTATGCAACATGTTAAGTCAAGATTCTTGAGAAGTCAGCATATTTGGCCCATACCTCACTTAGATGACACTTTTTACATGCACACATGAATACACTAGCATGTATGGGCCTAAATGTACAAAAGTAGTACAATAGTTCATGGAGCGATATACCTTTGTTCTAAGCCTCATAATCTCCACCGTTATCATGATATTTTAAATTTAGTGCTTTGATAGGCTTGACATAATGCAAAAAGATTTTATTTGTGCCTATCTCTTTTAATCGTAACCTTCATAAAGATTTCATAAACTTGTGCTTAATCTTGTTTGAAAGTCAATTGCTAGCTCTTCTTGTTATTTTGAGATACCTACTGAAGACATATTTGTCGACGCCGAGCCACCGCAGCCATCGGAACCGCGGGGCCTACACTGGGGGGGGTTGCGCAAAAATCCATTACAAGCCTTTGGACAACGAAAGCTCAGATGCGACTCGGCCTAGGTCACGACAGCCCAACTGCAGCCTTGTCGGGGCGGCCGTAATATAATACCCCACTCGATGGAAGCCATCGCCCCTCGAACCCTAGCTCTCGCAACTAACTGCCGCCGCCACCCTCACGCCCGCACCCATGCCGCACAAGCTCGACCCGTCGCCTGAATTTTTTGTTTTTCAGCCTTTTTTTTAAAGATTTTCACAAATACGCCCCTGGCAGTATTCTTTCAAAAAAATAAACCCTGACCTCGGCGCCGTGATAATTGGCGTTGAGCTCGCCAATTGCTTTGGCGCCGAGGTCCAGGGTCATTTTTTGCATGGCGCGGACGTGGCATGAACTCGGCGCCGTAGATCTTGATGCCGAGCTCGGCGCCAATTACTACGGCGCCGAGGTACAGAAATTGATAAATTTTAATTTTTACCATGACAGCTCGAAACAGCACCAAGCAAAAAAAAACTCGAAACAGCACCAAAGCAATTGGCGCCGAAACAGCACCAAGCAAAAAAAAGCGCCTGCTTTTAATACGCTGCGAAATTACCACACCGGGATACAGCCATCATCGTATATATACCACACATGGCATGCAACTACATATATAAAGTATAAACTACCGTATACTTGAAGAAAGACATCATCTATCAGATCAGCGAATTCTATTTGTTTTCCGAAGACATTATCAGAGAAATACAATATATATATATATATATATATATATATATATATATATATATATATATATATATATATATAAGCAAAGCAAGTGTATGCATGCATGCATGTCTACGGATGCTAAGGCATGGACAAAAGTACCTGCAAACTGATTAACAATACTGTCGTATGTATGTACTTCGCTATTTTGGAGTAAACTAGGAGCACGTACAACTGTACAAACCGATAAGACCAGGCTTTGTTGGGATCGTAGAAAAAGTCTGTCGTACGCACCTGCTATACGGAAGTTTCCATGCATGTGTTCATATATGTACTTTATTTTGTATTAGGAAATTCAGTAGGAAAGGAATTGTTGGAATGAGGAGAAAAAAAGAACATGTGTATGAGCAATGTACCTGGTAACAGAAACAAAGCTTTTTGGCTCTGGTTTCTGTGCGAGAAACAGAGATACCTCTTGCGGTCTTGTTGTCGCGCGTTCCTGTTTGTAGAACCCGGTTTCACGTTGCTTCCCTGCAACAACCCTAACGTAGCCTTTAGTTTTCTGCACGCCTTGCGAACACAACACAACATCATATCTCCTTTTTCGTTTCTCATTAATTTCATTTCCTGTCAAAAGAAGAAAAGTGATGGTCCGACCCAGAAATGCCTTGGCATGCAAACGAGGAATTCATTTGCTAACGTACTTACATTGGTAGCGTTCGTGTTCTTTTTCCCTCCCTTTTTCTTATAATAGTTGCATACAGCTACGGACAATGGCTTTAGGCAAAGCACACAGGAGCTGGCACTCATGAGCTCGGAGCTGGAAGATACAACTACAGCACGTCTGGGCGACACAGTACAGAGCTTAGTTCCTGCGGTACGGTGGGGTGACACAGTACAGAGCTCGGCTCATGGTAAAAATTAAAATTAATCAATTTCTATAGCTCGGCACCGAGCTCATGCCACGTCCACGCCACACAAGCAGTCACGTCAACGACACGCAGAAAATGACCCTGCACCTCGGCGCCAAAGCAATTGGCGCCGAGATGTGTAAGCTCGGCGTCAATTGTCACGACGTCGAGGTCAAGGTCTATTTTTTGAAAGGATACAGTCAGGGACGTATTTGTGAAAATCTAAATAAAAAAAGGCTGAAAAAAAAATTCAGGCCCGTCGCAGGTGGTGGAGGTGTTCGTCCGTGTGACCGGTGGCGAGGTCGGCGCGGCGTCTTCGCTGGCCCCCAAGATAGGCCCGCTCGGTCTCTCCCCAAGAAGATCGGAGAGGACATCGCCAAGGAGACGGCCAAGGACTGGAAGGGCCTCCGCGTCACCGTCAAGCTCACCGTCCAGAACCGACAGGCCAAGGTCTCCGTCGTTCCCTCCGCCGCGGCGCTCGTCATCAAGGCGCTCAAGGAGCCCGAGAGGGACCGCAAGAAGGTCAAGAACATCAAGCACAGCGGCAACATCAGCCTCGACGACGTCATCAAGATCGCCAAGACCATGAGGCCCAGGTCCATGGCCAAGGAGATGGCCGGCACCGTCAAGGAGATTCTCGGCACCTGCGTCAGCGTCGGGTGCACCGTCGACGGCAAGGGCCCCAAGGACCTGCAGCAGGAGATTGACGACGGCGAGGTGTAGATCCCGTCCGCTTAAGAAGGTATAATGAGCAAATTTCTGTTGTTTGATTGTAATATTGATGAGCCATTTTGCTTAGCAGCCAATACAGTTTATGCTATGCTTTGTTCACGTTCCCATCTGCTTATGTTAGTATGAACTCTGTTCATGGGAATTGCCTTCATTTAAGCGATGATGCTCCGGTGCTCCCTTTTTTCATGAATTGCTAGAATGTGATCAACATGGTTAACAAGTCCGGTTCTGGGGCATTAGTTTTTGTTCAAACTTCATGGCCCTGTTTATTTCTCTCAGGCAAAACTTCAGACCTGTTACATCGAATGTTTGACACATGTATGGAGTATTAAATATAGACTAGTTACAAAACTAAATGCACAGATTGAGACTAATTTGCGAGACAAATTTTTTAAGTCTAATTAGTCTATGATTTGACAATGTGGTGCTATAGTAAACATGTGTTAACGATGGATTAATTAGGCTTAATGAATTCATCTCGCGGACTATTGAGGACTTCTATAATTTATTTTTTTATTACTATTTAAATATTCGATGTGATATCCGACGAGGCATCCCTAAACTTTAGCGCTGGAGTTATATCTGTCCTTTCTCTCGCTGAACATGTTTCACTTACGGATGCCATGTGCTTCTTCAGTAGCTTGACACAGTTTCCTTGCAGGATTGGAGTTGAGGAGGGTGCTATCTTGGTCTGCTGAAGTAATTTTCTAGTGGGGGTGGGCTTTGATCACAACGGAGTTCTGCTTAGAAACTTTTGTCATGCTAAAGTGTTTGAGACAATTTCTATCAAATTTTATGAACTTTCCTAGGCACAATGAAGTTATTAATGCCTGAGTTTTGATGGAAATTTTCATGCATTGTTTAAATTTTGACTATATGTTGCATGGCCAATTGCCTGATAGTGATTGCATCGTGGAAGCACGTAGGAGTAGCTGAAATATATAATTCTGTTACCCATTGCTTTGGTTTTCTGGTGAATGTGTGCTTTCTTTAATATAAAAGGAACACAGTGTTTTTCATTAGCTGCAAGGCACACAAGCTGGATGTGAATGTGATGACAGAGATAAGATTTTCCCTGGTCCAAGCTCACACCATATGCAGCTAAACAATGTGCCGACTGCTGAATAATTTCAAGCCCGTTGGTAAGCTTTAATGAGAATTAGAACCAACGGACATTCTGGCAAATCATTAATGAGAATTTTCGGTGTGAAGTCTTCTCAACAGGTGCTCTCTCTGCGTGCCACCAGTTCGCTTGATGCTGTTTTGCTGTGAGAGAAAAATATTGTATCATGGCTGATAAGTCTGGTTGATACGATCAAACGAACAGGGTATCTGTAGCCGTAGATTTGTACTCCCTCTGTCTCTAAATGTTCATCGCCACGATTTACGTGCCGATAACTTTAACTCGATTTATAGAAAATACGTGCAATATTTTTATCTCTAAATATTTTTTTTAAACTAGATTCAAATATTTATCTAACGATACTAATTATGTATCATAAATATTAATATTTTTAATATATATTTAGTCAAAGTTATTTTTTAAGAAGCGAAAACGACGAATATTTAGGGACGGAGTGAGTATTAGCTATTTAGCTGCAGCCAGCAGCAGCAGCTTTTACCTGCCGTCGAACATACGCTTTGTATTTCTTTTACAATGCTGAGTATCGCTCATTTCCATATCAGTTCATGCAACAGAGTAAGGTCAAATCAATTCATGCAACAGAGTAGTGTGTCTTATTGTCAGCTGGATCACTCTATTTCTTTTACAATGAAATCAAGGAGAAGTGCAACCCAAACCTGTTGTCATTCAGAGCCACGCCTCATCATTGACACCGAGAAAAGGAGAATACCATAAATAATAGTGTTCGTGCAGGAGCTCCCCCAACTTTGTAGCACCCTTCGTCGCCACCAGACCGATTAATTCTTCTGCGGTTGGAGTGTAGCATGCAATAAGTGCTAGCCGATTTGCAGTTCAACAGCGATTAAGAATCACAAGCCCCAGCCGTGTCAAAGGCTCAAATCGCGAAGGAACAGATAATTGCCTGGTGGACCATTGTAAAATATGCTGATCGACTTCGCTCGGGTCCTGTCTTCCCAATTTCTTCCTTCAGGTCCACATTCCCCGTAGGCGCATGTCCCAGGGAGCCAGGATCCCTAGCCCAATGCCCCAATCACTTTATCGGGAGGACAGGCGTCCTCAATTCTTCCAAAATAGCTAATTTAGAAAAAAATCTATTGTCTATCAATCAATATATCCTGACGTCCTCAATGGTTTTCAAATAGCTAGTCTAGTAAGAATTTTATCAGCTATCAGAGGAAGTGATAAGAGAGGTAGCAACTCTATCTAGTCTCGCACAATCTTCTACAAGCAACTCTCTCACAGCTCGCACAACCCTTCGCCACCGTGCTCCTTTTTATTATTTTCAAGTCTCATCTAACCAGTGATTTACAAGTTACCATTAAGGACGCACTTGGCCTACAGCCTTGTGTGGCAGTCGACCTCTTGGCCGGCCAGGATATAATCGGCCTGTTCACTGGTTAGTTTCTGGGCTGGTTTGGGCTGACTGGTGCTGGTTCGTTGTGAGGGAAAAACACTGTTGGCTGGCTAGTTTTGGCTGACTGAAATCAACAAGCGAACAGGCTGAATAGCAGTCAGTCATCGCTCTCGAGCTCTCGTGGCCAACCGGGATATACGTCATGTTCGCTTGGCTTATAAGCTGTATTTTTTCAGCCAATTAATAGTATTTTTCTCTCATAACAAATCAGTCAACAGTACTTTCAGCCATGGTTTATCAGCGAACAGGACAATAATAGCTTTGTCTAGGATAGGTTTTTTTTTTCTTTCTAAAGAGCATTTATGAGAATCTGGCTGTCTGTAAAATTCTAGCTGTCTCAAGAATCTACTAGCTTATGATGACCAACTAAGATATGTTGAAGAGGAACAACTGGCTGTAGCGATTGCACTAGCTTAAATAAGTAAAGCATACTGGTTTTGATCCACTTTTCATTATGTTTTGTTTACAACCAGAACAATACGCGGCCCTCTGTGGAAATGCAGCGTGCCCGCCTGTGGACGCCGCGCTTGCGTTTTCAATTGGACGGGAGGCATGCGAAGGCCAGAGGCCTGTTGCAAAGGGAACACGTGGATAGGGGGATGGGAGGAGCTTTCATTACACGTGGAGGGACTAATTATGGCCCCGTTCGCTTTGCTGAAAAAACAAGTCGAAACATTGTTCCGGCTAATTTATTGTGAGAGAAAAACACTGTTCCAGCTGAAAAAACAAGTTAAAAATATATTATAAGATAAGCGAACATGGCCCTATAAGTATGTGCGGTTGTCCCATCAAAACCCTGGTTTTGGAGGTGGGACCCGTGTTTTTAAGGTGACAAGACAATACAAAACGAGACGAGCAACCCTGTCGGGTTATGATACACGTGGAGGGACAAACTACATGAGCCCTGTTTAACGATCCCACTTGTCAACTTTATGGAAGAGAGAAAAAAGGAATAGAGAAAAGGACAAGAAACTCCTACATCTAGAAGTTTAGTAGAGAGAAATGAGAGTTCCTCGTCTATTAGGGTGAATAAGGGCTCATATGAAAAGCTTTTTATGCTCTTAAAATGGGATGAGCGCTCAAGTATGATCTTGGATGGAGTTGCTCTTAGACCTCATAGCTCATCCCGTAACTCTGCTTTCGATTTTAAGTTAGGGAAGGAGGGCTTGAGCTGGGCTCAAGTAGGATCTGTTCATCCCCTAACTCTGCTTTTGCCATGCATGCATAGACGTCGCTCATCCCCTAACTCTGCCCAACTCAAGACCTAAGCTCACAAATCGACTTCTCCCTTAGTCAGTTGACCATGAAGCACATTGTTATGCTTGTGGACAGGAGCGATGACACGGTCGACATCCTCATGGCCAGACCTGTGAAAAACGTGGTTTGAAGCACATTGGTCAAAATCGAGCCACAGTGTCCAACCATGGTGAGACGACAGGCCACGATTTCAAAGGCGACAAAATGGCATCAATATCTGGTGGGTGGAGGATGGAGGGAGAGGAGAAGACCTCTGCTTGTGGCCATGGTTATAGTGCATTGGGTCACTAGCGAGGACGACAGGCACCATCTAGCAGTAGAGGGATTTGTCCTTTTCCCTCTTATTTCTTCTTATCTCTTCTCTCTATTCTCAAGAGTATAAAAGTCATGTCCAGTTTTATTAGAAAAAGTAGTATGTGATAAATTAGAGATACCTAATTGGTTCACTGTTCAATCTCTGGCCCAACTCATCACCACATGTTTATTGAAGTGAGAAAAAGTGTGTTCGAGGTCATGATAAATTTGGACGGCGGTTAGCGCCTTTTCTCTGAAATAAACGATCAGGCGACGTTGGATCCATCGGTCATGAGATCAACGGAGATGGCCTCAAAATCTTATCGGGCAATAAGTTTCTCAGTGTACGCCACGGTCAATAGAAAGCATGGGTAGCATGAACTCATCGCTTTCTGACAGGCCACGGCATAAAGGCACAAATCGTAAAGTCTGATTTCAATTTCTTATTGCAATGCGGTGATCAATCTTGGTGAATTATTTCCATGATTTTTAAACGCTACAAAATTTATCCATGCCATGGCACATGTTCGATAAATAAGTCAAGTGATTTCGGAAAATAGAAAAATGGTGCATATTTAAATATGTAATTTTCATTATTAAATTCAACCAAGAGGAGAATTTAATTTCAATGGATATGTGTTTTAAATTGATTATAATATTATTGTTATTACATTAACATTGATTAATGGCAATATTATAATGTTTTATTATACACATTGATTCTATTGGCTCCAACGGTGATGTAGAATTAGTGTAGAAAATAATGTATGTTTTAATTTTGACCAGCGTTAAACTAAGGCATGCAATTGTTGTTGTTATTATTTGTGTTCTCACACTATTTGAATTGGCTATTTTTGGGGAGGATACAACTTGATGAGTTGT